TTTAATTTTTATGTTGTTTCTAAACTACAAGTTATACTTATTGTTAAAAAAAATGTCTTATTAGCAAAATAAATATGGAGATTTTCAAATAAGTAATTTTTTTAGGAAAAAGGGGCCCAACAGAGTTTTCACACACGGGCCCAATCAAATCTAGTTACGGCACTGTATACAAGTAGCCTTGAATGGTTGATCAGGAACTGTCCTTAACCAGCCTTTAAAACGATCGTCCTCAAGCCAGGAACTAGAAAATAATTGTTTTCGTTCATTTTTGCATTTTTCATCCATTGTTAATTCACCTTTGTATTGCCTTTTGTATTTTGGTGTAAGTGCTGTATCATTTTCTTCATCACAATGACGTTTTGAAGAACTAGGTCTTTCAAAATCCTGTCTTTAAAAATACTTTTGTATACAACATACCAAAAAAAAAAAATTTAAAAATTTAAAAAAATTTAAATACCAACGAAGTTAATTGATTTCAAAATTTGTCCATGTTGTAACTTATTACCTTTTAATTAATTATTAACCACTAATAAAGTTTTCTAAAATATTTTTCGCTGTGTCAGTGTAAATAGTACTGAGTAGTGACTAGTGAATATTTGGAAAATCTCAAATATGAACTATTATTGAATATTTAAATATATTCAAATTAGGCTCCCGACTCTGTACAGTGTGACCAAGTATCCTATATAACCCAGGMAACTGCTAACACAATTTGGTATTGTAGATAACAGTAGATAACAAATTCACCATGATCAATAACTACTAAATACTTCAATAACGATTTTAAACTTTTGAATGTTTAAAAAGCGTTATTTTGGCAATATTATTGTAAAGAGCCGCTACTAATAAATTTAGACAAAAAAACGCTACGCATAGCGGCTTTAATGATTTTCAGTTTATTTTTATTTAGACCTTTGAGAATTCTAATATTGAACATTGTAGTCCAGATCATAGTAACTTAATTAATGAGGTTAATGATGAAATGGAAGGTACAAATAATAATAATTATCTAGACGATGATCTTAGTGTAACTCCTGTAACTCCTGAAAAAAAATTATGACTAAAATATAGACCATCCTAAGAGAAAAACAAGAATAAGCATAAAAGGTGATACTACAAAATATCGACAATATCGAAAAGATAATAGAAACGCAGGTTTARAATACCTAACCAATAAAGGAAAAAACGGTAAAATCTAGATGTTCTATACCATTACCTGACTGTAGAGCTAAATGTAGCTCCAAAATAGATGACAACTTAAGAGAAGAATTATTTAGAATATATTGGTCCATGAACAGTTATGAGAGAAGAGTTGCATATATTTCAGGCTATATTACATTTAGTGAAAGAAAAACTACTAGGAAAAGAACAGATACTCCAGAAAAGCAAAGAAATTGAAACAATACTCGTAATTATTTTGTGCCTTAAGATAATAGTTTGGAATCGGTTTGCTAGGGTTGTTTTCTTAAAATATTTGGGGAAACATCAACATTTTTAAATAATATATGCAAACAAAAATTAAGTTCTCCAGCAAATAAGACTACACCAGATAAAAGGGGACGTGGAGAACCTAAAAATAAAAAGAGTGTTGAAAATATAGCATTAGTAAAAAAACATATTAAGAAGCTTCCCAGTTATGAAAGTCATTACTGTCAGAAGGAGACAGTTAAAAAATATTTACCTCCTTACTTCACACTACAATGTGCATAATATGACGATTATGTAAAATCTGTTGAATAACCAGTAAGTAGATCAGTCTATGAGAAGCATTTTAAAGAATCTGGTTTAAAGATAAAAAACACTAAAAAAGATACATGTGCTAAGTGTGATAAAATTAAAATGCAACTTTCAAATAATTTGAATGAAGAAAACAAAAATAAACTTCTAACTGAAAAAAATGAACATCAAAATAATACAGAAGAGGCTTATAATTCAAAAATAATGGATGCATCAACAGTTTTAACAAATGCATGTATGTTAGCTTTTGACCTCCAGCAATGCCTCCCAACACCATTTTTAGAGTCATCGGTTGTATTTTATAAGCGACAACTCTGGACTTACAATTTTACAATGCATAATATTATTTCTTCTAATGCATCCTGTTACATTTAGAGTGGACCTATAGCTAAAAGAGGGTTTAATGATTTAGGTTCCTGTTTATTTGATTATTTAGGTAAGCTTTCAGATGAAATAAATCATGTAAATTGTAATTATGTATAGTGATTATTGTGGAGGTCAGAAACATGACTCTATTACAGTAATAGACCATAAATTCATGGTTCCTGGTCATACCAGAATGGAGTGTGATTCAGATCATGTCAGGATTGAAAATGCTCGAAAAAGGTACCCAACTTCAATAAATCATCCTTATGATTGGTCACAGTTAATATGGTGGGCAGAAAAAGTTTAAAGTTGAAGATATGAATCAAAGCAACTTCTGTGATTTCCAGAGTCTTTTAAAAACAAAGTATAATATGAAGAAGAAAAATACACTTGGAGAGAAATTTGTATTTCAAGAAGTATAATGGTTACGGTATACAAAAGAGGAAAAAAATACCATTTTCTACAAGACTTCACTCAAGGAAGATGCTAATTTTAAAACATTGGATTTATCTTGTAACAAAATTGTTAATGAAACTATGAATTATGTTATTTTACTAATAGCTTATAATGATACACTGCCAATTAAAAATTAAAAAAAAAAGATCTATTAACACTGTTACTATTGATACCTGAAGTTTTCCATGAGTATTACCAAAGTTTAAAAGCAAAGAAAGATGTCACAGATCCACTTCTTTCAGATGAGGAATTTGACTGAGGTCTTATGATCGATTTTATTACGTTACKAAAAGTTTTATAATTGTTTGTTTTAATTTTATAAATATAATTAAAAAGATTTTTAAGTGTTGTTGATGTTATTTTATTTTTATGAAAATTACCAATCATTTAATATGAGTGAATTTAATCTAAGTGCAATAATTTAAGTTTTTATTATTTTATTTTATTTTGCCTAAGTAGCTACAAAAATTGTTATGGCTTAATTTTTGAACTTTATACTTTTATTAAGTTTATTATTTGATTGAATGTAAAACAAACTCTTATTCTTAAACTTATTTTATCAGGTAGTTGACTTAATTAATTATTTATTCTAAAACCTATGATCTACATTGTACCAATTATCTAGTTATTATTATCTAAATATCTAATAATCATTAGTTTTAACTTATAAATCATGTGTTCAATTCTTCTGCAGTATATTGATAGTTACAAATTATAGTTTTGTTTTTAACTTACCTATTTTAATGTAAATCCTCATCTGTATTGAGTAATAAGTCTTAAATTTGTTCAATACTCTTGTTTTTAATTTTAATTTGTGTTATTTTTAAAGGCTTGACTTTGATAACAGTGAAAATTATTTTAATAAGAATAGACAACAATTGCAGTTAGATTTAGACAACAACCAGAATTATGATGTTGACTTTATCATACCTGACTGCAAGGAAAGTATTGGAACAAAAAAAGCATTTTTGGAACGACACCCCATACAACCTTTAGGATCCAATGGAAAACAGATGCCTTTTAATCCAAGTAAACTGTATTACCGTGCACTTCCTAATGGAGAAAAGATTTTAAGAAAATGGATATCATATTCTTCTATATTAAATAAAATATTTTGTGCTAGTTGTATGGTGTTTTCTGATAGAAGTTTTAATGATTCTCTATTTGTTATTGGTTATACAATTAAGGCAAAACATGTTTATAAAGCTGCTGAAGAACATGAAAATTCAAAAACCCATCAACAACTAATATCAGCTGCCCTTCAATGTGCCATGAGCAAATATATCGGCTCATTAATTGACCGCGTTTGACATTTAAACGTTTGAAGGAAATAGAGCAACGAAGATTGGTCCTTAAAAGGCTTATAGATGTAATTATTTTTATTGGGCGTCAAGGTTTACTATTCAGAGGTAAAGAAGGTGCCCATTCATTGAACAAAAAAGGAAACCCTAGTAATTTTTTAGAATTAGTTTTATTACTTGCTGATTACGACAGTGTATTACGTGTACATTTGAATCAGTGCATTTTGAAAAGTGATAAAAATAAGCAAAATCGTGGAAAAGGTTCGCTAATTACTTTCATGCCAAAATCGATTGTTAATAAATTAATTATTATAAATGGAAATTCTCTTCAAAATATTATTTTAAATGAAATAAAAGAAAGCTCAATAATTAGTGTGATGGTAGACAGTACTCAAGAACGACTTTTAAAACTAGTTGTTATTAAAGATTCAAGTGGAAAAGCGTTATATGATTTACTAAAACAAAATTTTGAAAAATGTGGAATATCAAAGACCCAAATTGTAAGTTGTTCCTTTAAAGGTGCTGCTAACATGAAAGACACCTACAACGGACTTAAAGCACATATATCAAAAGACAACCATGATTTAATTTACACCCATTGTATGGCCCATGTACTTAATTTGGTTATCACAGACTCATCAGAAAATTGCTTAATAACTGAAAATCTGTACGGGTTAGTTGAAGAAACTGCTGATTATCACAAACGAATGAACATTTGGAAAGAACAAACTGGTAAAATATATTTTATTAGTTACATTTATATTTTGTCTAAGTAATTTACATTTTATAAATTACAGGTGAACGACATAAATCATATGCAAAATTGTATCGCATTCAAAAAATTKATGAAGCTCGTTGGTGGAGCAAACATAAAGCACTTGCATCAATAACTGATCCAGAAGAAGATGAAATGGAATCTAGTAAAGTTTGTAATTTTTTTTTATTTCTAATAGAAATAATTCAAGGTAGATTTGATAGTAAAACCAAGTTTATGGCTCGTAAATTATTAGAAAAGTGGTCTCAGTTTGATACATTATTTGCAAGTATAATTATTTTAGATTAGTTTTATATAACACCTCCTGTGTCTAAGTTTTTACAATCAGATTCAATGGATTATTTAAGATCATGGTGTTCTGTAGAAACTTTACTGGAACTTATCAGTATCAAAAGAAATGAGGAACATTATACTAAACTTTATAATAAATGTAAATTATTTGCTCAAAAACTTAATACTTTTTTTATAGATGAACCATTATTAGACTTTCAAGATAATTTTGTATCAAAAAGAATATCTGTAAAAAAAAAAAACCTGGAGAATTATCTAATGACGAAGTCAAAACTTTATCTCCTTTTAAAAAAACGTTGTATTTAATATATTTTAAATAAGTTACTGTTTGACATTTTTATATCATTTATTTTATGTAATATATAATAGTAATACTTTGACATGAAACGTACATTACACAGACTATATTGACTTACTGACAAAATATGATATCACGTTATCATGATATTATTATTATTATTATAACAGTGTTAACTTATTATAACACAAGCCAAATATTTTGAAATTCTTGATACAGTAAAAATGTCTATTAGTGAAAGATTTGTATCTAACAATGAACTGTCGATGGATATTGCTTGGTTGGGCCCTTCAAAATATAAGGAAATAGYAAATCTTTCATTAGAACAGCTTCCATCTAATTCATTAAATAAACTATCTAAATTGGCTGGAGTAGATAGAAAAACACTATTTGATGAATTAAAACAATTTGCAGAACAATATTCAAGCTTTTCTGCAACAACAAGATCTGTATATTATGAACATAATTTAAGAGAAACAATAGATACAGAAGATGATGTGGCTGGTATAAAACAACCAAAATGCGGTGACTGCTTACCTAAAGTCTTTCAAATACTTTATGAAATAACATCAAAATCAGATTTGTTTAATACTTTATATTTAACAATGAAATATGTTTTGATTCTTCCTTGTACCCAAGTTTCATGTGAACGTGCGTTTTCAAAATTGAAAATCTTAAAAACAAAACTAAGATCGTCTATCAATCAAGAACATCTTGAACCACTAATGTCCTTATTTGTTGAAGAAAATTTAATCAAATTTATTAAAAAAGATGAAATAATTGATCAATTAGCATCTTCTAGTCAAGAATTGAAGAGATTATTATTTTAAAAAAATATTATAATTTACCTGTTATAATATTATTA